ACCCATCACTCTGCTTCCTCCCTCGCTCTCCAGCTCATCTGCTCCCCTTCATCCTGCCAGGTGTTCACTGGGCATACCTGGCCCACAACCTGCCCCCAAAGCACGTCCAGCAGGAGCTGCAGGCCCCAAGGACTGTGAGAGCCCAGGGAGGTGAGGGCGGAGGAGGGAAGGAAGGAGGAGAAGCTGCCTATGAGGAGGCGTTTGCCACCCAGAGTCCTGAGACGCAGAGATGGAGCAGGGCTGAGGGGTGGGCCTGGTCAGAGGCAGGCACTGGGGCAGGTGAGGCCAATCCTGAAGGGCAGAGGCTCAGGGCAGAGTGGGGTCCTGGGGAGCAGGGAGAGAAGAGCAGATGGTCTCCTGGAAGGAGGTGTCTCCCTGGATGGAGAGCAGGAGGGAGTTCCCTGTCACAGGAGGCAGGCAAACTGGGGCGGGGCCGACTGACTTGCCTGTATCCCACCAGGACTTGTCCTCCCCCAACCAGCCAGTTGATTGCACCCTCCCCCAGGCAGGCAGCTGATGACTGTACCCTCTCACAGCAAGTGGGCTGACCATACCCGCTTGCCTCTGGGATGCCTCCCTATTCTGACTCTCCCACCCGGTGGGCTGGCGGCTAAGGCTGGCCTCACAGTGCTCTCTGCCCACCCACCCCTTTCTCAAGGCCCCTCAAAGCACTCTCCATTATCTATGTGGAGGGGCTGTCCCAGCCCAAGAGTGGGGTGCCCACTGCCCAGGATGGAGTCCAAGTTTGGCCTCCAGCTGCACCCCCCACCCTCACCCCCAGTGTGGCTGCACAGGGCTTTCCATTTGCGAACCCCAGGCAGCTCCTCCCTAAGCAAGTCCCCACTCTCAGGAGGTGGGCTTGCTCTCCCAGGAACCAGCAGGCCCGGAGCAGGCAGGGCAGACTCAGCCTCAGGCTCTCCCTGCCCAGGCGGGTGGCTCCCTACTCCCACTGTGTGGCCTGAGGACGTGGGCTCTGATCAGCTCCCTCAGCAACCCTCCTTTGAGGGGGAAC